TTGTGGTTGTGGTTGTGGTTGTGGTTGTGGTTGTGGTTGTTGTTGTGGTTGTGGTTGTGGTTGTGGTTGTGGTTGTGGTTGTGGTTGTTGTTGTTGTTGTTGTTGTTGTTGTTGCTGATGTTGTTGCTGTTGTTGTTGTTGCTGCTGATTTTGATGTTGCTTATGTTGTTGCAGTTGTTGTTGTTGTTGTTGCTGTTGTCGTTGTCGTTGTCGTTGTTGGCTTGTTTGCTTGATTGCTTGTTTGCTTGCTTGCTTGCTGCCAACGGGATGGACGAGGACAATGAAGGGCACAATGGCCATACTGCCGTTGCTGGTGGTATTGACAAAAACAAACTTGCTTCGAATGATGCGAGCACTTAGGCCATGTGCCCAGGGCCCAAAGTCCCCACCTGAATTCTGCGATGCTCAGGTTCGTGCGGGTTATAAGGGTTTCTAGCTGAGCAAGATCGTACTACTCATGAAACTTGACGCCTTGAGTCCAAAAACAATAATTAAACCCTCAGTATGCAAAACCGTTAGCGGGAATCCGGGATAACCGTCAACACCAAAGCGTAGCCCCCCAACCCCCGTTCAGTTTAAAGCCCGGCACAGCCTCAATGGCACATGCAGCGCGAGCCGCCACAGAGGAGCTGTTCAGAGCAAGCGTGACTTTCCAGTGCGTAGAGTCCTCGAGACTTTGTCTCGTCGTGAGATTAAGGCGGTTTTTAAAGGGAGCTTTAAATGTTCCTGACGCTTCAGGGTCTAAGTTTGCAAAGCAGGGAGTGAGCAAATTAGAGTTTTGAGCTGTTCCGACCTCATGCGTCTATGGAAGGCCACCTTGAAGTGGATGCGCAGATGGACGGTGCGCAATCTAAACAGTCTCGTCTCTCCCGTATGGTCAGGTGCATTGACTGGAACCCTCCAGGACTACACTGCAATACCGACAGATGCCACTGAGTTCAAGACCCGGTCCAACCTACGAAACCTTCAACCCACGTAGCACAACCAGGAAGTTCTCAACACGGATCCTATTGCATACGAGTAGGGTCTCTGATGGGGCTTTGGGCTCTCTCCCTCCCGAGTGGTCCTGAGAGACACGGAAATAGCGAGCGTGCTTCGCGCAGAAGGCACGTACATCGAGAAGTCTGGCCCGTGAATCAGGATGCCTTCGGGTTAGGGCCCGAGATTTTTTGGGTTTCTGAAACTTCATAAGGGCTCTTCTAGGTTCTGTAAAGTTCGAGAAAGGGTCTCAGTTTTAGGAGTGTCGAGGTTAGAAATTGGGCATTGAAAAGCTCAGAGGGTTTGGGCTTGCAAGCCCAAACCCTCTGAGCCTTTCCTTTGAACGTGGAATGAAAACAAGAAGCCAACAGTCCAAGAGTCCCGAAACCCTAAACCCTCTAAGGAGCTTCGGACTTGAGGCGCGCAAGGAAGGCATGAAAGGTTGGGGTGGCAAGTGGTCCACCATTGAATCCCACTAGGGGCCAAAATGTGTAAAGTGATCTAAAATCGTCGTCAACCAAGAAGGACCATATTTGGAGCAAGACCGCGTGCGACAGCAACGTGCGTGAGACATGCAACCCTCAAATTCTAGGCAGGGGCCTTCAGGACCACCACTGATACTGAGGTGCACGGGGCTTATCGGTTCCCGGCACAAGAGATTGCAGCCTGAGGCTTGACGTCTGGTTTGTTTCGCAGCTGTTGGCTTTCATATTCATGAAACGCGCGGGCTGACTGCGCAGTCTCCGGCCTTGCCAAGAACTCCCCGAACCTGTCCAAAGACGTGGTGAAGCCCTGCTGGCAGAGGAACGCTGCGAAGTCGCAGACCAATGCCTCGACCGGGGAACAGCCACTGGGTTCTGGTGAGGGAACAGCCACTGGGTTCTGGTGAAGGTCCTGTGACTGGCGTGCTAAAACCTTTCAAATTATGCAGGGGTCTAGGAGTGGTTGTTGAATGCAGTGGGTCATTGCAACTATCCTGTGGCCTCGTCGCCTGCCGTGGCAGTCGGGGCTGGCATGGCTTTCAAGCTCCCGTTGCTTGCAGCAGCAGTAGGCCCTATGCTTTTCAGATGGATGAGGAAAACAGGGCTGGTAGGGTTGTCCACTACCAGAAACCTCGGCTGCCGACATCAAGCGAATTCAACTACTACTACTACTACTACTACTACTACGTCTTCTTCTTCTA